AAAAAATAATTAAATATCTATATTTGTTAAATTTCCTTCCTGCTTGGGTGTGTTGTATAAGCTTGCTGCATAACGACGCTGTTTGTGTGTGTTGTATAAGCTTGCTGCATAACGACGCTGTTTGTGTGTGTTGTATAAGCTTGCTGCATAACGACGCTGCTTGGGTGTGTTGTATAAGCTTGCTGCATAACGACGCTGCTTGGGTGTGTTGTATAAGATTGCTGCATAACGACGCTGCTTGGGTGTGTTGTATAAGCTTGCTAACTTTTTGAAATATAATTCCGGTAGATAAATGTAGATAAATCTTTACATTTTCACAATTCTTATACAGTATTTAAACATTGGAGACATGTAATAATATGAAAGGATAGGTTAATAACGATTTATGTATTTAAAGAAAACTATTTCTAAAATAATGACAAGCTTTTGTTTTAAAAAGTATTTATAAAAATGTCAAATTAAACATTCTAATTTTTTATAAGAAATATTAATTTAAATTCATGTTTATTTTCACTATGTGTACTAGAATTTAAAAAAATCATTTCAGCTTAACTAAATAATACATTTTTTTCTGCTACTGTTTAGTTATTTATTTCATGGTACACGAAAGTATTTTGACTTGCAAGGAAAATCTTTTGTAGAGAATCCGGGATATTTGGCAAGCCTTCCGGGAGCCGGGAGAATATATACTCCCGGTGAATCCGAGAGGGTTGGTAAGTCTAGTATTGTATGTGAATTATTGAAATGTAAAAATAAGTTTTGAATTATTTAAATGGTGGAAATACAAAATTCTGTTCTTTCAAATATATTTAATTTTTAAGTTGCCCAAAGGGTGCTCTTACATTGGGTATAGGGAATAGAAAATAAGCAGTACTAAGATGTTTCAATGAATGACAAGTCAATTATCAGAAGTGAAAGGGTTGAGGTCTAGTGATATAAACTGCTTTGTGGTATCGAAACCCGGTTTCTAGAGTTCTAAGTCCGAAGATATACCGCTGTGCCACTGGGGGCTGGCGAAATCTAAGTCACATACTTTGTTGTTAATGTATATACATTGTTTTTTGTGTAATAAATGAACAATAAAAATAATAAAATCATATATGTTTTATGCATGTTATGAAACATGCATATGAACATTTTAAATTTAGAGTTTGGGCCCTTGGCACGCGCCTTTAGCGCCCAGTGATAAATTCTGTTACATTTCATGGTATTATAACAAGTTAGAGACACGCGGATTAAAACAGTTTAAGAATTCGTGAAAGTTAGATCGAATTCTGTTTGTAGTACATTTTCTCGTCACTAGAGTATAGTACTTTCAGTGCTATTTTTTTCTTTTGATCACGGAGTCGTGCAGTATCAACAGTGTACACGTTAAGCTGATTCCAGTACTCCTATCAACTCTAGGTATATTATGCCGAGAACCACGTAGATAAAACATGTTCCGCATCTGTATTCTTTAACAAACGTTCACGTAGCTTTCACCAGATGCACTTCTACAGCTTAGACTGATCTTGTGAGTCCCTTTCTCAGTCGCGTACTGTTTTAAGTGTTTTCAAAAAAATATATACGGGACTTAATTTCCTATACATAATATACGAACAGTAGTTTTAAGGCAAAGCACAGCTAAGGCAACCAACAGACAGAAACAAAGCTTTAATCAAGGTAAGACTATAAAGCCAATCAAATGTGTGTGCATGCGTTGTTGCTACGGGAGACGAACGAAATGAGCAAAACATTTGTAGACGTACAGGTAGTTCACGTGCGCTGTATGCACATATAGGTGCATTTATATGTATTTATATACCCATATGTATTTAAACATGATAGATAGTACTAATAACTAGTTAAAATTATTTGATGTAAATTATATTACATAAAAGAGTTACTTTTATTTTCTATCTACGGATAATGTTTCTTACATATTGCTGTAGTTGTACATACGATAAAAACAATAACCCGAGAGCTTTCGGGAAGTTGGCTTTCCTTAATTTGAGTTAATCCACAAATACTTAATTAATACATAGAGTATGAAGTTACAAAAAGTAATAAATCTTCCACTTACTTGAATTTATACACTGAAAATAGCCACAAGATAAAAATATACCCATTCTTAATTCTTAACAACAGCAAGTAAATGAAAAGTGTATTGCAGAAGGAAAGAAACTTAGCTTAACGCTGAAGATAATTAATCGTGATATCTAATGATTAAACAATCATCTTCTGCTGGGAACTCCTTGTTGTTGCCTTAATGCCATATATTTAACCTTTATTTTCCATCTGCTTAAATTATGTTTGTTATTACTGGTATATAGCTAACACTATATGTATACATATATATAGAGATATATACGTAATGCTTACATAGAGCTTCAAAACACTATTGTAGTTGTACTTTTATGCTTGTCATCTTTGTGACCTGAGCATCAGGTTGAAGTCGTAACCTTCGTGTTCCTGATACATGAAAACGTGATTTGTCATATCGACTGTACATTTTTGTTATTACTGTTTGTCTTTATAATTACGTTTGGCTGAAACTAGACAGAAATAAGATCAACAGTCTCATAACTGCTTCTCAAAATACCAAATTGTAGTTGTTAGATACTATATAGGTGTCGCCAGAATTTTATAAGTGGGAAGTCACTTCTGAAATCACTGACAAATGTAGGCCAAAGTAAGCCGTGAATCAGTGGAAATCCAGTAAATGGTTCATAGAAGACTCATGTCACACTGAAGAAACACATTAGCAAACGAAAGAGGTTTTGAATATAAAATTGTAACCCTACAACTGGCAGTTTTTTGCAGCAGTAGATTTAATTTTCCGTGAACATCACAATTAAGTTGAGGTTCAAACCTAGAGCCGTTTGCACCCGACAGCCCCTCTTCTTGGCGTCCATGTATAGGCTTAATTACATTTACTTTGTCAACCAGTTGCCGTGGCGACGTGAGTTTTGGCTCAGTGTGAGAAGCCATGTTGAATAAAGAATTATATCTATAATATACACTCCACCACTCTAAGAAGCATGGTCTTATTCTTTCGATTTATCCTTCTCCAAGGTTAATGATAAAAGGTGGAATTCCCTGAAACCAGTATAACTCAGTAACAAGCTGTAAATCGAATGACAGAGTGGGCTTCACATTTATGTTTCTAAATATTATATTTGTTTGTAACATTCGTAAAGAGGCTGTATGTAGAAAACAGACAAGCTTGAAATGCATTTTTCGTCCATGGCATCAGTCAAGCTTGTGGATTTAGGCAGCGAAGACGTAACTAAACATAGCTACAGTCGTAATAAGAGATTTTACAGTGTATAAATCAGGCTGAATAATCAGTGTGCGTCAAGCATATAGAATCTCTTAACTGATGGGTTAAGTTAACCAAGTTTTGTAAAACAACTAAAATCGATATATATATATACAGTATATATATTTATGAATTACTTTTATACCCATGATACATTTCTTCGATAACACCCAATTCTATCTCATTATTTGATAGGGAAACGAACATAACATTTAACAGTCATTTATAGACCATATATATATAGTGGTAGGGTATCTGTTGAACACTTGAATTAACCACAAGGTTACATCAGGTCAGCGGTGATTTTACGGTAATACAACACAAAAAATCTGAGATTTGATTTCACGTGGCGGACAGACTGCAGATAGCCTATTGTATAGCTTTGTACTAAGAAACGAAAAACAACAACAACAGATCAGACGATTAAGTTACGCTTAACACATAAGAACGATGTTATAATACGGAAGTACTATAGTTTGATATAGTTTGTTTTGTCTCATTGTTCAATTTCCAACTGCATTATTTTATTTCAAACCTGTTTGGTTTTATTTCGTTTCATATCTCATTAAACATACATATATAAAAATTCACAACCTAAAACGTTATAGCTTTTGAAGACCTAAAATTTTGAGTATTTGTTTTATAAAGCGTTAAACCGCTCAAATTTTATTGTAAGATAAGGGCCAATCGCAAGATCATAATATATATATATATATACAAGGGCCAATCACAAGATCATAATATATATATATAGATACAAGGGCCAATCACAAGATCATAATATATTCTCTTCCAAAACAGCTGTAGGACTCAAACTATAAATTTCATAACATTACAGTATAAGAGTTAAAAATTGTTTTACTAAATACAAAATTTTATTTAAAACTGTGTTTAGTTTCTTTGTTAATTTAACTGAATTTCTAGTTTGTTTCAAATTAATAATAATTTTTTACAGATTTGTTTTTAGAAAACCTAGTCTGTCACCTATACCAAATCTTACTGTTGGTGCTAGTATACTGCTTCATTTTTGTTTTTTTTATACTAGCTTATTCCTGTTGTATTGCATATAAAGTTATTTGAAATTTACTTATCGTGATATTTGATATACATATACTTTTTTACTCCGTATTTTCGTCTAGAAGATGAAAATTATTTTCGGAGCATTCGGTCACTCATTTTCATAGCCACGTCCAACAGTCCTTGAGGGTCAGTTTGTAATATTTGATCACTTTTTTT